GCTTTCTGAAGAAGGGTCCAGACCCGAAACATCAGCTTTCCTGCTCCTCTGATGCTGCTTGGCCTGCTGTGTTCATCCAGCTCTATACCTTGTTATCTCAGATTCTCCAGCATCGGCAGTTCCCACTATCTCTGATAATGATAGATTGTGAAATAGTCATGCAGCACAAATCCTACAATGATCACTTTCAGTTTTATGTCAACAAAGTGAATTATGAAGCACTGATTTCTTTTGTTTAACTACAATTTTTCTTTTTAGTTTAAAGGGCAGCAGATTTAAATGCCTTGACAACTTGGCAGTTCCAATGGGATTGTAATGCCTTGACAGCTTGACTGTTCTAATGTGTTTATTAAGCTCATATAAACATTCGTGTCTGCTTCTAACATGCCTAATGAACACTTCTTCCAAAAGTTTCCCTGGAGCTTTTCAACGGCACACTTTTCCAAAACACCACTCCAACACTTTAAAGAGCTCTATAAATATTAGGTCTTCTTATTAAAAGTGTGAAGCCCACAAACTGTATTTTGATAATCCCTCTAATAAAAATTGGATCTGTTTGAAGGTAGTTACCTCTGTATACGGATGTGTGACATAACACCCACTGCTGGTTCATTTCACTCCCCGCCCCCTGCCAACCGTTGAAAATATTTGGTGTCAGGTTCAGGGACAGGATGCCTGGAATTGGCACTCAAAGGAACAGAAGAGCCTGTGTCTATCATCATGCCCTGACTAAACTAAAAAAACAAACCTGCCCTTATTCGGTCTGCATACTATATTCAGCAAACTGTGTCTAAGCCAGAGCCCCTACCTCTCCACCCACAGGGGGAAAAAAAATCTCAGGCCTATGACTGCTTCTATCAAGAATATTCCAGCAAAAGCCAATACAAGAGGTCAGGAATGGAAGAATAAAATATAATCATAAATATAATTTTTATATTGTAACACTTCTGTAAAAGAAAATGATAAAATTCTGTTTTTCTTATTTTGTCAGGACCAGCTTCCCGTTAATGTAAGTGATGTTTATAATGCAGCGGCTGACATGTGGAAACAGTGGTTGACACCAGATGCACGTAGGACTTTGCAAAAAGGTTAACATTTGATCATAGATGCTTGGATTTTGATTTTAATTGAAATGAGACATTTTATTTTACTGCAAAATATCACCTGCTAATTGATTTTTCTGTCATTTGTGTATTTTTTTCAAAATGTTACATAAAGGTATACTTGAAACATAATCCAAATAAAGTGTCATAGTTGTTACAACACAGAAAGGGACCACTCGGCCCATTAATTTTCTGCAACTCCTACACTATTACATTGCTCTACCTTTGTAGCCTTGAGAGTTTATTATCTTCATGTACTCATTCAATTTCCTTTTCCAATTAATGATTGTCACTGCTTCCACTATCATTTTGGTAGCCAGTTCCAGGTCATTACCACTTAATGTATAAAATAACTCTTCACAGACTGTCCCAGGTCTCTCTCTCTCTGTCCCATCCTTTGCTCCGCCTGGCCTTTGTATCACTTGCTCAAAATCCTTGAATCTATGTTCTCCAGTCCTTGAAAATCAGCAAATAGAAACATACTTTTCTATATCTATCATAACTCAACCTACCATAATCTTGTACATTGCTATCAAATCTCCCCTCAATCGTGTTTTCTCCAGGAGAACACCCACAGCATCTCCAACCTAATCTTGTAGCTAAAAACCTTCGGGCCCATTCTGATAAATCTTTTCATCCTTTCAAGGATGTTCATATTCTTTTGTAAAGTGTGGTGACCAGAACTAGAAGCAATGTACTTACCAGACTTCATCAGACATTTACAAAAATGTTCAGTATGACTTAGAGACAGTAAAGACTGTAGGTGCGGGAAACTAGAGTCAATAAATGTGGAGCTGAAAAAGCACAGCAGGTCAGACAGCATCTGAGGAGCAGGAAAGTCAATGTTTTGGGTTGAAACCCTTTGTCAGGACTCCATGGACTCAAACCTGACAAAGGGTTTCAGCCCAAAACATTGACTTTCCTGTTCCTTGGATGCTGTCTGACCAGCTGTGCTATTGTTTTCAGTATTATTTCCCTGTTTTTGTACTTATCCTCTATCTATGAAGCCTAAGATCTCATATTCTTTTCCTTTGAAAATGAATTCTTGTTAATATTTAAAACCAAACTACAGCACAAGTTCAAGTCACGTTATTTTTCCCAGTGTTGCATGTGCCTTAGCGAGTTGGTATTTAGGTGTATCATATCAGAATGTACAGTCGACCTTAGTTCAGTGGAGTTTATCTTAATGGCACTAAATTAAAATGTAAGATCTATTAGTAGCAAGAAGTTGAATTGATAGGATAACCATTTTCACTTCCCTGTACTATTATTTATCTCATTTATGCATGTAAGATTAAACTTGAGCTTCCTTACTGCTTGAGATGGCATGCTGGACAGATCTGTCACATTAATGCTTTATTACCAATTGCTTAAGTTTTGAGTTATGTCCTACATTAGAGTAGAATGCATGAATGCAGATTAAAGGTATGCAGTGACAACAGTCTCTGTGAACAAGTTTGAATATCGTTATGACCACAGGGATAGGAAGCCAAATCAGACAAACTATCGCTGGATTTGCAACACTGTGAAATTAAAACACTCAGTGACTGTCATATGCCCAATTGTTTCCAACCAGAAACTGAAAACAGATCTTGTATACCAAGTTTACAACCTAAACAAAATTAATAATTTACCATTAGTAATGTAACCTTAGCAGAACACAGAGAAGCAACAAGATAATCTAATGAACATCTATGATTTAAAGTCCAACTTTTTGATCATAACTTCCACTGTCATTAACAGACACAATAAAGGGATAAAATGAATTTTAAAAAAAATGCAATTTCCCAGTTCAATGAGCTGTTTCAAATAATGGATACCTGGCCTTCATGAAATCCTTAGACAATGATTTGTTCATAGGCACGTAGAACTGTATATCCTGCTTGAATTCTGAAGTTACCGGTCAATGCAAACCGTTTCGACAGACCTCCAGAAACATTTACTTATTTTCTACAAACTGGGATTCTTTTCTCAGAACATTTAGCAACTCAGTAGAAAATTAGAGCAAGAGAGTAGAACACAGCAAGTCTCTGGAACTTAGAAAAGTCACTCTCCTGCCAAAACCAAGTCAGAACTGTTTTAGTTTTCTTTCCAATCAACATTCCCTGTGGTTGGCTGGAAAGTAATGGTCCTCCCTTGATTGACCAATTCAACATCCAACCAGCTGCCAGCCCAGAGCATAGCAATAGCTCAGTGCTGATTCATCTAGTGTTCTTAGAATAGTAATGAAGTTGTATTATCTTCAAGGCTACTTCCCAACAGCATACATCTGTCTTTGTCCTCTTTTAGAAGAAACTGCAGTTCAAAGTTCTTCTTAAATCACTGTTGCAAACCAAAATAAAAATGAGAAAAGTAAAAGAATAGTAGTGAGGGCCCTGCAATATATGGTATAGACCCAGTCATTTTGAATTCAGTAACACATTCTCATTCCCAACCTCTCACACTTGTTATCACTTAGAATCAAACTGATTATAATGTACCAACTGACTTTCATTCAGTACAACAGAATCACCACAACTTATTAAATCAGATCAAACAAAATTTTATTTTTTAAAGCAGTTGTTCCAGCCACATTTTAAGTGGAACATTTTAGGTGTTTTTCAGAATTGGTCTTTCAAAAATAGTAATAATTCTGGACCAAATTAAAAATAAAATGTTTTTATTTAAGTTTGCTCCAAGTTTTTGATTGTTTGTTAACTGTACCTTTGTCCCAATAGTTCCCCTCTGTACTGTCTGCTGTGTTACGGATTCTTTAATTCTATAACTATAACTGTAAACTAGAATAAAATGGCTTAGTAGAATGCCTGTACAATTAAAGCCAAAAAAATTTCAAGATTGGAGGGAGAAATACTTCAAAATTAATTGTATTTGTGTGTGATGTTTCTCAAAATTCCACCAGTTTGTTTCCTGGTGCGTAATAATGTTTAATTCTTAATGAATTAAAATCGCAATATATTAAGCAACTCTATCATTTTAATATTCAAAGTCAAGTAATCATGAGATTTCCGGTTTCTTTCTGTTACAAGTAATGGTCCCCTTTGTCAGTTGATTACATATTTTGGAGGCTCTTAAACTTAATCCCTTTTTTGCATTTGTGAGTTTGCCTTCCATTTTTTTTCCCCATAGGTGGGTTCTACACCCAAATCTTTAATTGTAATCTTACTCAGCAGACCCTCAGGATAATCAGCTTAAACACAAACTTGTACTATAGCCCCAATAAAGAGACTGAGGGAATTCCAGACCCTGCAGGACAGTTTGTGTGGCTTGAAGATACATTGAAGAAAGCTCAACAAAACAAAGAGAAGGTAAATCTGTTTAATAGTCTTGCAATAAAATGTTTTATCTTATTCATTCATGGAATGTGGAGATTTTTAACAATGTCAGCATTTATTGTCCATCTCTAATTGCATAAGAAGAGTCAACTACATTCTATGGGTCTGATGTCACATGAGGCCAAACCAGGTAATTTCCTTCTGTGAAGACATCACTGAGCCAGATGTATTTTTATAACTATCAACAGTGGTTGCCATCAGATTAGATCTTTCTTCCAGATTTTGTTGAATTAAGATTTAACCATCTGCCATGGTGAAATTTGAATGTATGTTGTCAGAACATTGGCCTGGGGTGCCAGATTGCTAGTCCAGTGACATCATCACTATGCCTCCAGTTGAAACAGATTTTATATTCAGAACAGTAAAATATCTGCTTTTTGTGCAGTACTTTGGAATATCCTGAGAAGGCATTGTAAAATCCAAGTTGTTTTGTTAACCATGTTATATATCTTTACAACATTGGTTTGGTGGGAAAAATAAAGCTTGCATTGCATTTTCTAAGGAATCTTTATAGCTAGGGAAACCACATGATTTCTCCTATTTTGTCTATAAGACATGGCCTTCATGGGTAAGCTTCAATTCACTTCTTTTGTATTAGGAATGAGTCACAACACAACATGTTCCACATAATGAGGGAAAGAGACTTTTCAAAAACATTACATTCCTATATTTTGTTTTGTAAATTTCTACAATTTCTTAAAATTTTGGGTGTTTTTTTTTCGAATTGCGTTTTTTGTTATAGAATAAATTATAAACTTCCTTTTTTTGAGTAATAGTCATAGAATGTTGGGATTTGCAAAATTTTTGCAATGTGCTAAAGAATGCAATTCACTGGCATCTTACAGGCTAAAATGGGTACTTCACTTGAAGACTGAAGGCAGTCAAAAACCGAAGTGTTGCAAAGTGAGCCAGCATAACGGTTTCTGAGAAGTAGATCTTTTATCATTCTGAGAAATGATAGATTAGAGATCGTTGGCACTGTATAAAACTGGAGCTTTTGGAAGTAATCTATTGCATTTGATATCTTCTACAATAGATATTGACTGCATTCACTTTAGATGGTTCACACCTTTTAAGTTATATTGACCCCAAGTTGAGCATCTAAGCTCATGACTATGACAAGACTAAGACCTTCTGTTTTCATGCCTGTAACATTAACTAATTCGGGAGGATTTATGTAAGATATTTAATGAGGATGTCAGTGGCTAAGCCTGCATTTACGACCTATTTCTAAATGCTCAGAGTCAACTACTTGGCTGTGACCTATTGTCAAGACCAGGTCAGGATGCTAGATTTCCCTCCCCAAAAGACATTAGGGAACCAGTTTTTTTTTTAATGGCAGTCTACAGTGGTTACATGGTCACTGCTTGGCCAGCTATTTATTCCAGACTGTATTATTGAATTTAGATTTCACCATCTGCTATGAAACCATTTCCTCTCAACTTTTGCCTGGTGTTCTGGATTACTGGTCCGGTGAAGTGACCACTCTGTCACCATTTTCGCTCTGTCATAATATTGAGCAAAACCTTGAACAATGTATTTAGCCTTGATCTTCAATCAATGGTGAGACAGGTATTTGCCACTAAACATGTGTAAAAGTACAATCCTGCCTTTTCCGTCAGCTGTAGCCACCCCTTTTAAAGTCATGAGCTGAGCTCTGTGTTCAGCTCAATGACAGGCAATTTTCTCTTGACTCATTGCTTGCAATTTTTTTTCTTAGCATGTTAATAACAATAGCACTCCCTGGCTCCCTGTCCACATGTTTGCCGGATATGCAAGGGAGTGAATTAAATAGGATTCGGGAGGGAAACCAGAGTTGCTGGGAGTATAGCTAGGCAGAGATAAAGGCACAATAAGTAGGTAGACCCAGAAAACTCCGAAGAGACGGGACTGTTTCCACACTCTTGTTTTGAAGAATGTGTTCCTAGCAGGCTGTACCTGGAAGCACTCCTAAACAAAAAAAAAAAGCATTACAAGTTTTGTGCAATCAGTCCAAGTTTCTAACTTGGTGCACCTGGACCTATCAGTGTAGGCTCGTCCAGATACCATTTAGGCACATTGCAACTTCTGGCTTCTAAGGTAAGAGGGCTTCCTGAAAATTGTAGCACTCCATAGAAGTGAACATCACAGCATTCTGTGCTGTTGGGACCAACAGAATCAGGTTTATGTCACTTTAGCAATCTGTTGTTTTTACTGGACGCAGCTAAAGCCAAGGCTGAATATTGCAAGAACTTGTTTATTAATTCTAAGCAATCAAGAATATAGAGAAAAAAGATGCTAAATAGCACTGCTGATTTGACATGTGAATTGAAAGTTGTTTAATCATACAGAGCTTTAATATTGATGAAAATAGAGACATATTATTGAAGCTTGTTGTCTTGCATCCATCAGGTCACTTCACAAGAATACAAATTCAAAGGGAAAACAAACACTTGCACTACATGAGTAAAGAGAGCTGTTTGGTTGGCAAATGGACTGTGCTAGAGATATGTCCATAGAGAATGCAGAAACCAGTGATGATTACCAGTCAAATGTGAGGTTTTTGCAATTCATACTGCACATATTGACTCAAGGCATTGCCCTGGAAATGAACTAGCAAGTAGTTGCATCTATTTTGTTGAGTTGAAACAGTCACAAAATTTTGCAAGCAGAAGTTGGTTTGGTATGGCCAGACCCTTGCTTGTTGTGAACAGCTGAAGGGATATGCCTTTGATATGATATGTAAGTCTTTGGGACATATGGTTCACATACCTGGCATCACACCAAAACTGAAATTCATACATCACATTACTTATTTGTTGATGGGCAGACATCTTCACCAACATGTACATGCCCTGCGCTGGTTTCATCTCACCTCAATAGGTGACAACCATTTGCTGATTCATTTCTCAGGTCAGTGCCTTAACAATTGCAGCCCAACTGCCTGATTTAAAATCTAAACAGATCCTGGCAGTTAACTGTTAGTCATAATTAATTGGCTCATTCTTCATAGCCATAACTCTACCGATCAAAAATCAACTTAACCAGAAATCAGTTTCCACAATCTCCTCTGATGCAGTATAAGTCTTGGTTTTCCCTTTGAATGGGTATTCTTGCACATTGTCTTGATGAGTGCAAGGCGCAAAGTTTGGACAAAATATGTATTTTTGCAGGCATGCATATGTACTAACAGAATATTGGACAGCTATTATGCATTTATCATACATTTACTTCAAATTTACATTGCAATTCCTCGACTAAGTCATACAAAAGCAATACAGATACCCCTAAGCAAAATGGCTGCTTAATTTGGGAAGTGGAGGGATAGAACTGAAGAGCACTAACACTTAAAATATACAACATTTTTATTGCTTTGGGTAGAATTTCACATTATGTATCAAAAGATATGTTAAATGAGGTTTGAATAAAGATGCTGTGTTAAATGAAATTTGATTTCTTATGAATCATTGTATTTTCTGACAGGTTTACCTCATTGCTCATGTTCCTCCAGGCTACTTGCCAGACTCAATGAGCACCACTGCAATGAGGGAGAAAGATAATGAAAGGCTGGTGCAAATTTTTCGCAAATACAGCAAGGTTATTATTGGGCAGTTTTTTGGTCATACTCACAGGGATAGCATAATGGTCCTTCTGGATAATCAAGGTAACATAATCTCTGTTGTGTCTCCTTTGTGTTGCTACTATTTTCTCTGTCGCCTTCCCTAAGGAAAGGGATAGTAATTCTCAGAGTTCTACCGATTCTCTTTTTTTTAATATATATAAAAACCCAGAAAATACATCATGTGGCATCCATAAACATTCTGCAAAGGTAACTAAAGATGGTGATCCACCTGAATGTTTTGCTGTGACTCCTTTAACTGAGCCACAGAATTATTCTGGGCTCCTTGTTCCATCAGAGAGAGAGAGGGAGAGAGAGAGAAAGCTGGAACTGTCAAAGAAAGGTTTCATAATTATAGCAGTCAGAAAAGCTGAACTGTCTATGGAATTTTAAGCCACAGCAATGAAGCGGAGACCTGGAAAGACAGATTACAGCCCATGTTTCTCACTCCTACATGGAGATCCAGCTGTGAGGACTTGAGTAACATGAATTCTGTCAAAAAAAAAAGGAGGAAGTAGAGATCCTGGAAACACCACATAACGAGGATCCAGAATCTCCAGAGGGTGGGAAAGTTGAGTGGCATAACACATTCTGCTGTTGGACCCGACATTCTGACTTCTCAACATTTTCACAGGTCTCCTTAGAATAATGCAGCTGCTCTTATTCCTCTCTCTCCTACTGCTGTTTAAATCCCCATCTGAGCAGCCAATTTTTACATTCACCGTCATTCTATTGCCATCTCGCACCAATATGTCGTCATCTACAATTGTTGCACTTCCTCCTATCCATGGAAGCTATTTTGAACACGCCAAACACTCAGCTTTCTCTCTTTGCAGTACAAGATAGAGCGCAACCTAGGAAAGTCAGATACTATATGGGCATGTGGTAGGGGGGTGGGGTTTGACCCTACATTAACAAGCACCTTGAGGCCACTGGAAATACCTGCCCTTTCGGAAGAAATCTTGTTCTAGGACGTAGCAGACACAAACATTGAGTTGTCATGAGAAACCAAATCTCCTGAGGCTTTGTTGTACAAACCAACTGAGAGTGTTAACACTCAACTGGTAGGACATCCTCACCTCCTTGGAGCTGATATGTGTGTCCATTCTCTCTCCATTGTTGCCCTGGTAGTTAAGGATGAATTGAGAAGACAGTGTAGATGAAACCACAGTGACACTTGATTTCAGACATTCAGACTCCAGCTGAGAAATTGACACAACGTAATTTAGAAGTTAGCTTAGAGGGGTGGTATGTAGGTAGTGACTCTAGTCTGCTGCCATCATTGTTATGGAAACCAGTGTTCACAGTGCTCTGCAGTATGTTACATTATTTCACAATGTGGTTTTCCAACAGATTAAGAGAGATGTGTGCCTATATCATCTGTAGTTTGGACATCAATAGAGATTGTGAAGCAAAGAAGAAATGGCTTGTGAGAAGGATGCTTCTTCCCCAGTCTCACTGTCCTCCCACTGTCTCTGGTGGTCAAGGCTCAGCATTTATCATTCCATTAGTGACCACAATGGCCACCTCAGTGGATGCTGGGATATGTTCACATACCTGTACTTGTCAAGACAGCCCTGGCTGCCATCTTGATGTGCAAGAGAGGGAAGTGTGAAGGACTGTCAGGCAAATTTCTTGGGTCAAAGGCATGAGAAATGGACTGTCAAAGGCACTTACTGCTCATCAGTGGCATTCAGTATCTTACCAGGGCTATCCAAGTTAGCCCCATATTGATTCAGAGCTCTAAAAGCATATTAATTACAGAATAAATACCTTTTTAAGTATACAAAAGTCACAAAAAGTTTTCAGTTATTCAACCATTTTATTTATTTAGTTGTTTGTTCTTCAACAGACAATCCTATCAACTCTCTATTTGTTGCACCAGCTGTAACTCCTCAAAGAAGAGCTTTGAATGGTGTAACCAATAACCCAGGATTACGCTTGTACAAGTATGATACAAATGATTACACCTTATTGGTAGGTATCTGTTGGATGCAAGAATTTGGACAACAGTGCTTGGTCATAAAATCAGGAAAATTTTCCCAAAATGCACTTGAAATTGAATTTTTTGAGTTATGCTTCAAGTTTGTATCAAAATGAATATGCATAAATATAAATGTAGAATCTTCCATAAACAAAAACAATTGCTAAATGTAATAGAACATAATTTTTATCTTTCTTTCTATTAAGTAACATTATTTGATGTAGTTAAGAGTGGTGACTTGGAGAAATTTTGTTAAAACAATTAAGATCGGGTTTTACAGCAAAATTTAGCGTTTTCACTAAGTCTGAAGTTCACTTGCATAGTCGGCATTAAAATCATTGCAAAAGACAGTGAGCTGAACTGGTTCTAGGTTAAATTATTTACTAAACAGAATGCTTGCTGCAGGAAACCAATGCAAACCATAATTCATGGCAATATATGCTGTGTGCAAGTGAGTAGGTAAAAATGATGAAGCAAAAGAATTGCTTCTATGTTTTGGGGGCACTTTGGTAAGTGATTGCTTCTGATTGTACCACAAATATCTTTTTCAGTCTCTTAGAAAGTTAGCTATCCACATTTGTTCATTAATTTTATAGGCTAAGACTAACCAGTTCTGTCCTGTAAATATTGGGGTACTAAGATGTTAGGGGTTTCAACAGCATACAGAACTCCAAATGGAGGAACTGTGACACAGTGGCATCTCCCCTTCTAAGGCAGAAGCTATATATACACACACACGTGAGGAAGCGACACCGGACCCAAAACATTAACGTTTTGTTTCTTCCTTTACAGATGCTGCCAGAGCTGCTGAGCTTTTCCAGCAACTTTGTTTTTGTTCCTGATTTACAGCTTCCGCAGTTCTTTTGGTTTTTATATAATATATGCCAATGTTAGGTGGTAAGACTGAGAGAGATTCTTGGTCAACTATATGATGGAAAGAATATTCAGCCTCTATCATTAATGCTTATAGCTACAAACGATTACATGAAAAAGTGTAATTATCACAGCGACGCTAACTCCTCAGCGGCTGTAGATCCAGATTGCTGCCAACAGCATGGTGTTCAAACCTATTCCAACTGGGGCAGTTTCAGAATCTCTCCTAACCATTATGGAGATTGTGGCATTGAAGGTCACAGAACGCCAGAAGAACTCCAAAGTTCCCATCCAAAATGTTTGTATTTGGATATGTCTCGTAAAACTGGGTTGTGATAAAGAAACTTTATTGTTAATCCCTTGTTACAAAACATCCATCTTTTAATTATTTTGGTTCCGTTGTAGCTTGAATGCCTGTTTTCATCTAATTTCATCGTGCATGGTAAGCATTAAAATAATTTTAGGATTACCCAAGCACTTATTATAAGCAACAACAAATAACAGGCAACATTTGGGCCATCTGTCTTGAATATGGCACTGTTGAGTGCTGTTGCTTTGGTACGGTTCTCAAGTTTGTCATCTTGCGGTCCCAAGTATATTCAGCAGATCACAGAACAGTTTCACTTATTTCTGTCCATGATAAGAAAATTGTTGTGTGGTGGAACAGAGCAAGGGGAGAAGTCTCCCTATACTCGAGTTATCTTGCTAGAGTAACTTGTTCAGGTTTTATTATATCTCCAAACACCAGAATGGCTGATAATTTCAAGTGTCAGTCTTTAGGTTAACAAATATAGTTGAGGCCAGGTCAGTAACCATTAATGAAAGAGCATTTTAAAATCCAACTGGCTACCCTAAAACATGGATAATTTCAAGAGGAACATGACTGAAATCTGTTGTGTACTTAGTACTCTGCTTGTGCACGTCCACTTTGTGCATATTAGGTGCACACCCATTGACTTTGTGGACTGCCATCTCACGTCCCAAGAACTTTTAGGACCTATTAGTCAGAATATGTGATACCTCTTAAGTGTTTCAGTCACTTCGGTGTTATTTATCTTTTCTTTCCTCCCTTTTACTTCTGTCTCTACAGCTAATCGAAAATATGCAAGCACTCGGCTCTAGTCTTTTCCAGTCATTCCTCAAGTCTGTCTCAAACAGTCATAACTAAGCATCTTAAATCTCTGCAGTCGGGTATTCTCCTGGAAGCTGCAAAAACAATCTGTGCCAATTAATAAAATCCAAGAATTCCTCTTTCAAACTCCATTTTCCAGAGATTCAAAGGATAATCAGGGAGTTCAATTCAATTCAGTGGTGTTTATCATGTGTTTAACTTACATTTTGTGTGTAGTGATAAACACTACAGCAGGAAACCCATGCAGCTGCTTTTTTGAACTTGTGTGACAATTTCATACTTGCCACGTAAGCTGGTAACATTCTGAATTGTCAGTGTTTCTCTACTTAATGAAAAGCCTCTTGACACCTAATGTACTCCTGGTTTTGCAAAGCCCTTATTTTCTTTACTTCAAATAGTCTATCCACCTAGACAAGAGTTTAATGTAAACAAACTTCTCAGATAAAAGTGGTTTTTAAAAGATATACCAGTTAATAGAATGGAAAAAAATACTATTATTTTTCATTTACTTTTGCAGGATTTATGGCAGTATTACTTGAACCTTACTGTAGCCAACGAGGAGAAAATGCCTGACTGGAATTTGGAATACATCATGACAGTAACCTACGGCATAAAAGATATACAACCACAGTGTTTGTACAATTTAACCAATATGTTCATAGGTCCATATAGTGAGAAGTTCCAAATGTATTATAATCATTATGTTGTCAGTTACAATACCAGCATAGAATGTGTTGGCCTTTGTAAAGTGAAACAGATATGTGCTATAAAATATTTAGATCATGCTTCATACACAAACTGCATTTTAAGAGGACTGAAGTAAGGCCCTGTCAAAGAAAATATATTAAACCCTGCAATCTTCATTCTTTCTCTTCCTCAATTTGTGTTAAAAGCTCTTAATTTCCATTATTTCCTAGTAGGATACTTCATTTAAATTAATATTCCTTACTTTTATTCATTTTTCTTGTACGCTGGTGATTCTGTTTTGCTTTTATTTCTCCATCATCCTGTTTTCCTTATTCCTATTTCATTGCAACACATTTTTTCTGTTAGCATCAGAAGTTATATTTTCAGAGCTGCAGTGGATATTTCCCTATTCTTAGAATCAAAGGTCATAATGTCATACAGTATGGAAACAGATCATTTTTGACACACCATATTAGTACCATATCTAAGAGCTATTCAATTGATCCTAACCCCTGATTTTCCCTAAAGTTCTGCAAGTTATTCCACTTCAAATGTTTATTCAAATTTGTTTATTCTCATTGATTTGCTCCCACCACCCTCCAGGCAGTGCATTACATATAAGCATAACTTCGTATCAAAATTCTGCTTTCTCATGTTACCAATTATCTCAAATCTTCATGCATTTATTACTAATCCCTCTTTATTAAAAACCTTTCACCTCTTTTGAATGCCTCTGTTAAATCCCCCTCCTATCTGCTCTGCTGAAAGGAGATCAACCCATTTCTTTGTCACTGCACATAACTGAAGCTAATCACGACTGGTACAATTCTAGTGAATTGCCTTTACATTCTCTCTCAAAGACTTTGATATACATCTGAAAGTATAATGCTAAGAATTTGGAATGGGCTCGTTGGTTGAGCGGTACAGTTCTCGTTTAGAGGCTTGTGTGGTACTAGTATGCGAGAGGCCCCGTGTTCAAATCCCAGATGAGCCCTGATTTTCTGCCTTGAGACAGGAAAATACTCAAACAAGGAATTAAGAAGGCGAAAAGAGGCCATGAAATGTCATTGGCAAACAGGATTAAGGAGAATCCCAAGGTGTTTTATACAAGTAAAAGGAGAAAGAACATAGTTAGGCTATAGGTAGGTCCACTCAAAGACAAAGGAGAGAATTTATGCGTGAAGCTGGAAGACGTGGGTGAGGACCTTAACAAATACTTTGCATCGATATTCACAAAGAAGAAGGACATGGTAGATGGTGAGTCTATTGGTATTCTGGGGCTTGTCAATATTAAAAAAAAGATGTTGGGTGTTTTAAAAAGCATTAAGGTAGACAAGTCGATAGGACCTGATGGAATCTATCCCAGAATGCTGAGGGAACGCAAGTGAGGAAATTGTTGGAGCCTAGTATGAAATCTTTGTATCTTCTTCAGTTACAGGAGAGGTACTAGAGAACTGGAGAATAGCCAATGTTGTTCCTTTACCTAAGAAGGGCAACAGCGATATTCCAAGAAATTACAGGCTGATGAACCTTACATCTGTCATAGGGAAATTATTGGAGAAGATTCTTAGGATTTACTCACATTTGGGGAAAAAAAATGAACTCATTAGCTATAGGTGGCATGGCATTTTGTGGGAAAAGTCATGTTTCACAAACTTGATTGAGTTTTTTGAGGAAGTGACAAAAATGAGAGTAGGAGGCATATGCTGTCTCTATGGACTTCAGCCAGGCCTTTGACAAAGTCCTTCATTGCAAGATGAAGTCACATGGAATCTGCGGTGAGCTTGTAAAATGGATACAGAACTGGCTTAGTCATAGAAGACAGAGTGTAACAGTGAAAGGGTGCTTTTATGACTGGAGACAGGTGACCAGTGGTGAGATCGGTGCTGGGAAACCTGTTGTTTGTTAACTATATAAATGATTGAGGTGAACTTTGGTGGCCTCATCAGTAAGTTTGCAGATGATGCAAAGACTGGGGGAGCTGCTGATAGTGAGAAGGATTGCCAAAGGATAGAGCGAGATATAGATAGGCTGGAGACTCGGGCAGAGAAAAAGAGGACAGAGTTTAATCCAGACAATTGTGAGGGGATGTATTTTGGAAGATTTAATTGCAGGATGAAAGTATACAGCAAATGGCAGAACTCTTAGTAGCATCAACATACAGAGGGATCTAGGCATGCAGGTCCCCAGCTCCCTGAGAGTGGCAACACAAGTGGATAAGATGGTCAAGAAGGCATATGGCATGCTTGCCTTCATTGGTCATGGCATATAATGTAAGAATTGGCAAGTCATGTTGCAGTTGTATAGAACTTTAGTTAGGCCACATTTGGAATATCCTGATCGCCACACTACCTGAAGGATGTGGAGGCTTTGGAGAGGGTACAGAAACAGTTTACAAGGATGTTGCCTGGTTTGGAGGGTATTATCTATGAGAAGAAATTGGACAAACTTGGTTTATTTTTACTTGAACGTCAAAAGATGAGGGGCGACCTGATAGAAGTTTACAAAAATATGAGAGGCGGCGTTAGAATGGATAGTCAGGGTTTCCCAGGGTAGAAATGTCAATTACTAGGGGACATAGGTTCAGGATAAAAGGGGGTAAGTTTAAAGGAGATGTGAGAGGCAAGTTTTTTTGCAGAGTCGAAAGTGCCTGGAATGCACTCCCAGAAGAGGTGGTGGAGGAAGATAAAATAACAACGATTTAGAGGCATTTTGACAGATAAATGAATAGACAGGGAATAAGAGTGATAGGGACAATGTAGAGACAAAAGGGTTTTAGTTTAGAAAGGCATCGGTCTGGGGGGGGGGGGGGGGGGGGGGGGGGGGGGCATAAGGCCTGTTCCTGTGCTGTACTGTTTGTCATTACTCTAGCTTGTACTTAACTACTGCTTTAGAAAGGTTTAGTATAACTTCCTTGTTTTTGTACTCATACCTTATGTTTGTCATGGTTGGCTTTGAAGGCATCTAATGAGACAACCCAAAGTGCTCCCTTTGCTGGGTTGTCATGAAGAGCAAGTTGCTTAGATTATTTTTCTTCCTACTGTTCAGGATACAAGATCAGCATCATTGATCTGTGGAAAAGGACAGCTAATTATATTATTCAGTCCTTAAACTCCTGTGAAGAAGTATGCTTGATATCTCTTAAGCCTTCTGAAATGCTATATGGGATAATCTAGTATTTGATATCTATTTGTTCTCCCAAGGCTTATACCTATTACTGAATGCTTCAAAGTTAGTGGGTGGAAAGTCATGGGGATGGACACAGATGTTTGTTCAGTTGAGCCTTCACCCAGAATGCATTGCCTCAGGATAGACATTACTGCAACTGTATATTGTTCGAGATAGAACATAGTCTACATCTGTGTGTAATGTTCTGCTAGTATCCTTCTCTTCTTTGTAATATCCCTGAGATCATTGCCTGCCTGTTCCAAAGCTGACAGCCGCTGTGCCTCCAACTAGAAACGTGGGTCCCTGTTCCACCCTTGCATCCTGTGGGCTTTGTTTTATTTTTCTGCACCACACTCGGTAACAATTCATCATTCATACTTCAGATTTACCTGAAGTATCCTTTCAGATTACTGAGTAAGGAGAAGAATACCAAATGATGGAGTATGCTTCTCTGATGTTGTTTGCTCTTGCAGGTGTAATGGCTTAATCCTTTGCCATTTTGCAGTTTTTCACATCTTGTTTGATTTGTAGCATTTAAATTAAAGAATCACATTTAAATTATGGCACCCAGTTCTTTTCTGCTCCATTTGCTGTCACAACACTATAATAGTTACAGATGAAGTTGGTTTAAATCACCACACATTCATTTGTTGTGGACTGACACATTTTGGTGAAAGGGGCACCAACATCTCCATTCATCATCGTTTCAGAGGAGTGGCCTGACCCCTGTGATGGAGTAGAACACAGGTCAGTAATATACAAATCGAGAACAATGCTCTCACGTGATCCATTTTTAATTTTAGTCAGCTTTAACTCTTGAAATTGAATTGGCAAGTAAATGTGGACTTTGACAGGAAGGATGATGCATTCAGGGTTGTACTCCCTTTCATTGAACAGTTCGATGGAAAATTTTAAGGTATTATGAGGAATTTGTATAGTAGAGAAATTTATTTCTGTTATTTTCAACTTGGAGAACTAAATAACGGTACCTGAAAATTATAGCCAGGTCTTTCAGGAGTGAAGCTAGATAACATTTCCAGATGGAAAAGTTTGGAGAATGCTTGCACAACAGCATTTGAGGTGTGTATATATATGTAATATCATTTTCAGAGTTGGTGCTGTTATGTTTGTGATGGGCTTACAGAACCTGTGTGCCCTAAACCAGATTGTTGCAAGTTAATGTTAATGGAAGATTGATACCGAGGGATTTACACCAGAAGTGAACATTAAAAGGCATTTGCGTGCTTTTGGTTTAGAACAATCAAGGATTGATTTTAGCTTGGAAACCCAGAGATTTAAAGTTTTTTAGGGCAGTTTTTTGAAGAAATGATGATTGGGGTCAGAAGGAATTATTGTTATTCTCTCAGAAAAGAGTATTGAACAGTGTAAAGAAAATGCAGTTACTATGTTATAAACTATCACAACAAATGGGGATTCCTGAAATGTCTGTGTTTCTTCAAAGGAATGGATGCTCAGAAGCACTGAATATAGAATCATAGAATCCCTACAGTGTGGGAACAGGCCTTTCGGCCCAACAAGCCCACACCAACCCCCGGAGCATCCCACCCAGACCCATCCTCCTATAACCCATCTAATCTACACATCCCTGAACACTATGGACAATTTAGCATGGCCAATCCACCTAGTCTGCATATCTTTGGACTGTGGGAGGAAACTAGAGCACCTGGAGGAAATCCACACAGACACTGGGAGAACATGCAAATTCTACGCAAACAGTCACCCAAGGGTGGAATCAAACCCGGGTTCCTGGCGCTGTGAGGCAGCAGTGCTAAGCACTGGAGATAGTAGGAACTGCAGATGCTGGAAAATCTGAGATAACAAGGTGTAGAGCTGGATGAACACAGCAGGCCAAGCAGCATCATAGGAGCAGGAAAGCTGACATTTCGGGCCTAGACCCTTCATCAGAAAAGGACTGAACCACTTTATCACAGGAGTTTTATGGTGAAATTTATTGCATGGGTTGGATTTTCAAAATGGCTTTGAATAT